GAGTGATTCAGCTTTCACCTAAGCATGGAGCAAATTTAAAATAGACTGTTGGAACACTCGCAGACATGACTTGGCCCACACAAAGTCCCGATTAAATATTACTTAGATTCTATGGGCTATATGGAAACCGAGAGTATGTTTTATAGCAAAGCCACACGGGTTATCTCGCTGTGTCTACCAAGGGGAATCAAACCCTGATTTTATCGTTGCAAATCTGTAGTCTTATTGCTGTCCCACCGGGTGACATGTTAAATGGCAACAGAATAATCTGGCTTAATTTTTTGTTAATCATATATTGATAAACATATGGTAGCATAAAAATAAAGTGTACAACCTCAGTTTAAAACAAAATGTGGTGTCCTATTTATTCATTTGTGTGTTTGTACTAAGTTTCCAAATGCTGGAACAAGTCTATTTTATAACGTCTATTCCACCTTTAATTTCTAAGAATAATACGATTATTTCTATACATAACACCGTTGAATTAACTAATTCTATATCATACCTTAATTGTAAATAGGCGAACAACTCAGCACAACGTAACAATAATGAAATTAATACAAATAAAAAACGTTCATAATGAGACTACAAAACCAAAATTATTTTTAATTACCAGTCATATGAGTTAATGGTGATGACAAAGACTGATAATGAAATATATATATATTTATTTCATATTATTATGAATATTTTTTGATTTAGATATATACATATATTGGCTTCGGTTCTTTAATTGACATCAGGACAAAGTACGAAGTTAAAATATCTGACTGTGAAAACTTGAAGTTCGTGTTTAAAGCTATTTACAGCTATTATATTTTTATGACTGATATTTCTGACTAATTTTTTAGCTGCCTTAGTAGAGGGTACGATATTCTGTATGCATGGTGGCCTCTCACCGGATTTACTACATCTGGAACAGGTTGGTGCTGCCATCTTTTATCTGAAATATTAAATAAGACTTAAACATTAATAATTTACACGCATTTAGAAACTACATATTAGTGTGAATTATTAATCACATTAAATATAATTGAATATCATACTGATCTTCAGTACCATAACTTAATAGAATTACGATAAATTATACCGATTTTTGCTAAGAAAAAAAAAAGAACATACGTTACAGAGATTAGGATAAATACACAAATATTAAAAAAAGAAAATTTATTAGTTTGGATACGACAGATGATGAATTTACATTAGCTATTTTTCTCGTATGTTAAAAGTGTTATTCAAGGATAATCGTCAACTCTTTTATAACAACATTAAAGTTTTCGCTACTCAAAACCACAATTTATAATTTGATTATTAAACATTTTATATTTTTCTACGATATTTAGTTATTTTGTATTATAAGTATTACAGTATTAAAACAGACATGCTTTAAAGAGTGACCTACATTAAAAAGTGTTTAGTGTGAAGATAAACAAGTATTGTACAAATAGAGGAATTATTTTTTTTTTAGTAAAACTACACACACACATATATATTTATAAATTTAGCTATTTTCAAACAATCATTATGGTGAGAATAAATAAATACATTTCGTGGCAGGAATTTAGTTTTTAAAGGAAATAAATTTTCCTCAACTGGGGTATTCCGGGATATTGTTATCCCCCTTCACCCCGCTCGAGATTTTTGTTTTTTACATTCGTGAGATATCTAAATTTATCTGGGGAGGTTGGGCCTACGTTGTCCAGTGAGTTTGAAGAGTTGTTGGGGTATGGAGAAATGAGAGAAGCAGGGGCACGTCTGGGGGGTTCCAAGGCAGGGAGAAGAACCAAGGCTATCAGTAATCAGTAGAAAGGCGAGAAATATACATTAAAACTTTTTAAGTTTGCAGGCTGAACTACATTTCGTTGTATTTGCATTATGAATCTGTTGATAATTATAATATCCTAACAACAGCCCTTCGATAGCTTAGCGGTAAGTATAATGGTTTATAACCCTAAAAATCTGGTTTTGATACACGCGGTGAGAAGAGCATAAATAGCCCATTGTGTAACTTTGTGCTTAAAACAATTCTCGAAACACCCTGTCGTCAGTTTATGGAACGTTACTCTGGTGTCTAAAGCGTCTTCTGTATTAAGTCAAAACTGATACTTTAGTTGAATTACAATTTTTTGGGGGTGGGGGGATAAATATGTGTTATTTCCTGAGGATGTGTTCGGAAAAAAGTTATTCTGGGTTTCCAATGCTTGTGCTATCTACATACGTATAAATATATAACGATATCTCATCGAGTGATTGTCGTTATTTAATTTGCAGCTTCAACACATACCCCGTCCAATCGACGTTCCTGATCATGGCCTTGTTTGTGATTTACTGTGGTCAGACCCGGATGAGGTAGGTGCGACATCTTGTGGTAGAGAAATAAAATATAATTAATTAAATCAGTTTTAGTTATATAATATTAAATATATATATATATATATATATACATATTTTAATTTCAAGATTGTATGTAGATATCGTTGTCTTACGCAGAAAATACACATAAGAAAAAGTCGATACAATCACACAAAACAAAAAAACATAGAACAACTAACAAGATGAGTCCTTTCAAAGAGAAAGGACAGAACTGATGCGTCAGCAAAAGGAGGAAAGTTATTAATATAATATTCAGTGACGTCACAGGGAGAAAGTTTCTGCTGGCAGTTTTGCAGTAAATTAAAAATGCTTTGGATCATTAAAATAAGGCTAAAAATCAAAATATAGTTATAGACGTTTTGATAAATTAAATGTACAATGTTTATCGTGACCTTCAATGCACGCTGGTTTTGGTTGTCATCAGTGCATATGTATATATTTTGTAAGGTTTATTACAATGTTAAATTCTCCAAAACTCTAGTTAGTACGCTGTGGATAATCAAACTTGATTTTTCCTTCTTTCGAAATAAATCAGACATCAACATAGATGATTTTAAATTAAGAACAGTTAATTCTTCAGTGCTATTTAAACTTCACATTCGTTGATAAAAAGAGTAGCCCAAGAGGTGGCGGTGATGACTAGCTGCCTTCCCTCTAGTCTTACACTGTTAAATTAGGGACAGCTAGCGCAGATAGCCCTCGTGTAGCTTTTGCGCGGAATTTATAACATACCAAACTTAATCAGGATATATTATCGGGCGACTAACAAATTATGTTATATAAATTTCCATTAATATGAGTAACTGTTTTAAAAAAAATGAATGATTAGACATTTCAGTAACACTAGTAGCACATCACAGCTCTTCAGATTTTGTGTACTAAGTTCTGACTAAGCCTACTCAAATCTTGTCTATTAACTCCTGGCTAAACCTACTCCAACAAAGGAGGCAAGAAAAAATATCTAACAAGAACAGTTGAGTGAATCTAAGAGTTCTGATTAGAAAGTGGAGGGTGTACGTTCTCTTTGTTTGACCGAAGAATTAAGATACGTATTTTTAAAGGGTGTTCATACAACTTCATTAATTCAATGATGCAAAAAACAACGTATTTTTAAAGGGTGTTCATACAACTTCATTAATTCAATGATGCAAAAAACAACGTAATTTTTAAAGGGTGTTCATACAACTTCATTAATTCAATGATGCAAAAAAAAACAACGTACTTTTAAAAGCGTAATGGAGACAAGATTTTTAATTGAAGCAAAACTCGTATTTTTTAAAAACGTAATGATACAACAATTTTGATTTGTCACAACGAACAATTACCAAATTATTCCTATTTTCAGGACATAACAGGCTGGGGAGAAAATGACAGAGGTGTATCGTATACTTTTGGTGGGGATGTAGTTCGGACTTTTCTACAAAAACATGACCTCAGCTTGATCGTACGGGCTCATCAGGTAAACTATTCAAATATATTATATGTTTGTTTTTCTATACTAAGATCTTGGTTTATCATTATTTTTCCATTATTACTAAATAGCAAAACAAAGATATTAGTTTAGAAGAAAAGAAAAATTGTTCTTCATCATGTATATTAGTGAATTAATCCAGTGGATGGTTGTTTTGGATGTTGTAGTAAACTTTACATGATATTATATCTTATTACAAAACTTTGTATAGCCAGCTAAATCCATGACTGATGGACCTACTTATTAACTACTTTCGTTTAAAAAAGTAATCACAGTTAATTTTAACAAACAAAAACACACTGAAAACGTTTACCAATCTTTCGAAATAAATCGTCTTCTTTATCAAAAGGGAATGGCAAGATATGTACATAGGAAGTATTTTTTATGATTTAACATCCCATTTGAAGAAGAAATTCGTTGTTTTTCGAAACTTTGGGAACAATTTTAATGTTCTTTTTTGTTAAAGTTGGTGTACTTTTCTTCTGTAAACCGAAGTGGTTAATAATAGTTAATAACTATGGTATCTTGTTATATTTTCGTATAACATTTACAGGAAGTTTTTTGATTGCTGGTGTTTTCAATAATACACGTTGTTTATAATTTTTCATAGATACATATTTTAAAACTATTTAAATAACACAAATATTGCAATGGAGAAAATAAACATATTACTGTCAAATTTCTCTCTTTTATATTTATATATATGTAGTTTTTGAAAAAGTATTTAGTAATAGATCATATATTTTAGGTTGTAGAAGATGGATACCAATTCTTTCAGAAACGACAGGTAAGATTATTACTATAATTGCCATTCTACTACTTGCATTTTTGTTTTGTTTCGTTCAGACATTTTGGGTAAAATAACATCGTACGTAACGGATAAGACACTTTGTATTGATCTGACGCTAACACCAGTTTTTAAAGCTGTTTCTTGCTATGAAAATGGAAGTTGAACATGTTATTGGAAGTAAAAGAACATGAAATCGAACAAGTTAGATTTACGTGAGAGGAAGTTAGGCTTACCTAATTATAATTACCAGGTGGTTAGGGCGCTCGACTCGCAATCTCGAATCCCCGTCCCACCAAACATGCTCGCCCTTACAACCGTGGGGGCGTCATAATGTGGCGGTCAATCCCACTATTCGTTGGTAAAAGAGTAGCCCAAGAGTTGGCAGTGGGTGGTGATGATGACTAGCTGCCTTCCCTGTAGTCTTTCACTGCTAAATTACAGACGGCTAGCGCAGATAGCCCTCGTGTAGCTTTGCGCGAAATTCATAACAAACAAACAAACAAGTATCACAGACAGACTCTACTGACTCATCGATTCGATGGTATATATATATATTGTTTTTTAATGGATTATGAATAATATTCTGAAGAAACTAATTCATTATTTAAAAACGACGAAAACATACGCCATTATTATTATTATTCAGGTTTAGTAAGTTTATTTTATTTGCAGCTTGTAACAATATTCAGCGCCCCTAATTACTGCGGAGAGTTTGATAACGCTGCAGCTGTCATGACAGTATCAGAAGATCTTACTTGCTGGTTCACAATCCTGCCGGTAGGTATTTAATCTGAAATATTTTTCCCTTTAATTCCTGAAAAATACTGTTTTTAAAAAATATATATTTTCGCTTTATTGTTTATTATTTTTATGCTGTTGAGTCAGTGAAACTCCAACCAGGTTAACGTGATTTTTCCATCAACATTCTGCGTACATTTTTCCCTATTCTGATTATGAAGATTAATAAGTTGTTGTAATAGAAAGAAACCAACATTTACAAATATTGACTGAAGTAATGGAATTACATATTTCCCTTTGAATCCAATACCTTGTTCCGTTTACACACGCCATTACTATTTCATGTGACTAACTATGGTCAAGCTGTTAGGCCTAAGACAAGTGGACTTGTATATTTCGATTAGAATTATTTTATATTATTATAGAAATCCTCTATTTAGATAAGCACTGTTGCAATAAAGATACTAACATGATCACAAATGTTTTGCGGGTCTCTTCTAGTGTTATTAATTACATAAAGTATTGGAAGTAATCATAGAAACACACAGGTAATACATATACACCAGTCACAACAAACAACGCAAGTTCCGACTAAATCGTCAATTTATCATTACAGATTATCACAGAAAATACGAACAAAAAACAAACAAGTTGTACTATGAACTAGTATTCCGTACTTGCTTTAAACACAAAAAAACATGTTTTCCCCTACCATAAGCTTATTAATGTGTCATTGTAAAATATTAATATTAATCCCCACTATTAACTCAAGTTACTTTGTTGCCATTTGACGTTTCGGTTTGTACATAATCCCATACAGCGATAATAATATTCATATGAAGACTTTGTGTGGGCCCAGTCATGGCAGTCAGTGTTACATCGGTCTCTTTAACATTAACATTTGCTGCATATTTGGCATTACTGTCTTGCTGGAAGGTAAATTGCTGTCTAACGGGTCTTATTCCGGAGGGAATTACATAACGTGTAAAAATGTATTTGTACCTGTCAGAAGTCAGTTCGCTATCAATTTTATGTAGACCTTCAACACCATTAGCCGAGATGTACCCTACGGTTGGATATACAATACTGTTTAGTATTAGAGTTATTTAGTTCATTTAGTGATATAATATTTAATGATCATTTAGCTTTCGTAACAAGAGTGTTAAAAGTTAATTATTTAAAAAAGCGATAGTTGTGACAAGTTTCGTTGTGTAACTCGGTAGGAGTCGTACGTTGTGTATGTAGTTTAATTGTTGTACTAGACTTTTGTAATATTGTTGACGTCATCTTACTAGACGCTTCCAAGTTTTTTCTCGTTATGTGTAATACTGTTGCTACTAGAGGAATAGATAGTTCTAGATTTTGTGTTATAAATACGTGCGATACAGCAAGTTAGAAAAAGTGAAGTTATACTGCGTGATTGTTAGTTTAGCCGGGCAATATCTAAAGTGAGTTTCACGGTAGTATTGTAACAACAAAGATAAAGAAGAATACTTTGTCTTGTTAAAGGGTGTTCTAAAGTAACTGAACCCACCTGTGCGGACTTTGAAGAAAAAAAGACAATTATTTAAAGCTCTGGATACAACTGTGATAACCAATAGTGTAACTACTTTTTGTACATAATCCACACAATCCACTTGTTTCAAAATAATATATTCAAAACAAGTGGATTGTGTGCTGTCCGTTTATTGTTCGAATTTATCGCCAACAAGTCACAGACACCTACTGTAAAGAGTCCGCATCCCTATAATCCCGACACCTGCACTTGTATTGGTCTCCCAGCATGTTTCACTGTAGATGTTGTATATTGAGAATGATTTCATTAACCTTTCTACCATCGAACAAACTGTTGTTGATTGTTGCTAAATTTATTTGATTGTTTACGTGATACATTATTATATTTTCTGGTCACTAAAATTGCTTTTCTTTATCAGCCTGACAAATCGAGGCTCTTCATTCAATCGCCTGGAAGTAAGAATTGACACCAGATAACTTACAAATCTTTCAACAAAACATTCTGATGAACATTCAAAGTCAACTGATCCACAGTCTACATACAGGACCTCTTGAGATTCTTGTTCATATCGACAGAGAAGATAAACTATTTTGATACGAGGCCAGTATGCAGCGAATCATCGAATCTAATGTAAAAACCAAACTGATAACTGCAAAACAAGGTTTTATTGTCCTCAAAGATATGTTCAAAACCACATTTTCGCTAATTCATGGTTATGGCAATGCTGCATTTTAATTCTACAAATTATATATATATAACATTTAAATAATAAAATTTCAAGTATAATATTTATAATGCAGAATATATTAAACACAACCACTAATATGGCTTTGTCAAACTATTAATATTTTTCTGCAACAGTTTTTTTATAGAACACAAAAACTCTTAAAGAGAATTCAGTCTTCGTTTTTTCACATAATAATATTTATTGAATGGAAAATTAAACCATGAATTATTTAGACTGTTTCAAAACAAAGTCACAAATCGAGTCCCGGGTTTTAACGTTGTAAGTTCGTACATTTACTGCTGTTCCAGAGGGGCACATGAACGAACCAGTGTAAATGTTCTGAATATGAAATCATGATGACGCATATGCTCTTAGTAACAAATCGTAATAATGCAAATGTTGTAAACAAATATAACGGAGATAACACTAAATTCACGAGCTAGGATTGTGAACTACGTTTAGTGTGTTAACAATGAAAAGTATGAATATGAATATAACTTGCGTGTTTAGATGAAATTTTGTGATGGTTATTGTAAGATGTTTTGTGCTGATGCATGTAAAGTAAATCTATTTTAGTTGATATAGTCGTAATTTAAATGTAAAAATGTGCTCAAAGAACTAAACATAAAGCAATCGAATATAATAATAAAGTCTCGAAGTGAACCTCTTCTAAGTTGTATACCGCTACAAATACAAAATACCGGTCTTTAAAGCTTTATACTTTTAATTTTTTTCTGTTTACAACGAACCGAATCTAACTTTCAAGCAGTGTTGCAACACAAAATTCAGAGGTAAAAAAAATGAAAGAGTAAATGTGTTTGTAAAACTGACTCACCCAAACATATGCTAGTTCAGAATAACTGCAAGATAAGGCCTTAGACGAGACGTGTCATTTATATATATTCTTATCGAAGCGACATCTAGTCAGTTTTTTGTTATCGGGAATGGAACGTTTCGATAAATTGTAGTATGAAATCTTATTGACATTGACACGACATTTTTCGAACATTCCAATAAATATTTTTAATCAGAAAAAGAACGCAAGCATTTTTGTCTGATGTATATTTAGTACTTTTCGACGAGAATGAAATCTTATGCCCAAAAATAATTAATTAATTAAATATTAATGCAAAAAATACGAGAATTGTCGTTCGATAATAATGATAATTCTTGTTGAAAAATGCATATTTTCGACAAAATTGTTAGGTGATAAAACTTGGCGACATTTCGTTAAATTTCGACAAGATGTTATAGCCAAACACCTTATCACCAGACATGCTCAATAACATGTACGTCGATAAGATGCCGGCTCACGGAATTACTGTATCCAACAGCATAGTTGCCTAACTGTCTAGAATATTTTCACAACCCTTCTCTGAAGAAAGTAGCCTCCTCATCTCTCCTTATTAAGATCCTGTAAATATAAAGCCTGAAAACAATGCAAATTATGAAATTTACAGAGAACCAAGAAACTTTGAATAAATGAGAAAGTTCGTGAGAAATGTGTGCTTAAAAGTTGAAATAATATATCTGGAAACAAAAATACTAATTTCTCTCCCTTCCCCACCTCGTGCAGCAACACTGCTAAGGGTTAGAAGTTATCTGTTGTCACTGAAGGTTAATACGTAAAACAATGCTCCCCCCCTTCCCCTCATGTAACAACACTACTGAGGGTTAAACGTTACCCGTCGTTACTGAAGAGTAATACGTTAACTCGTGCTCCCCCCTTCCCCTCATGTAACAACACTACTGAGAGTTAAACGTTACCCGTCGTTACTGAAGAGTAATACGTAAACTCGTGCTCCCCCCCTCCCCGGTAAACGTTAATACTTCAACTTGTGCCCCTCATCATCACATCAAAGCACGGGCATATTTAAAGGAAAATATTTGCCTATTACATATACTTGCCATTCTAGAAATGTCTGAGTACAGTTATAGCTATATGCGTGATATAATTCATGTACAATATAGAAGAAATATGAAGCGCAAAAGCCTTCAAAATTTTCATGTTGTCGTGAGTAACACATCAGAAAGTGCTCTTTACGTCAAATAGCTTTTCACCAAGACCGCCTACCTCTTGTGAAATGTTCTCATGGTCAGTTTCCTATTGCCTAGAAAAAAATTTATCTTGGACTCAGCGAAACCTTTTTTCTTTTCAAATTTTTACTGAAATATATACATATTTTACACAACAGCCGTAAATTCATATTTACTGACTTAATTTACCGAATCAGCAAACCACATGTGAACATCAACGTTGAATATTGTGATATTCATGAAATTACTAAAAATTATAATTTACTTTTCAAATTGACATTGAGAGAAAAAACTGGCGGGAAAACATTAAACTAGATCGTAATATTATTTTGATAATCATTTGTAAAATATTTTTACAATTATTCTACCATATGATAACCATTTCTTTGTTAACTATTGTCTATTTTTGAATTTCACAGCTCTTTAAAATAAAGTTAATAGTTATCGAAAGTCACCTTTGAACGTTTAAAATAGAAATAAAAAATATATTTAGGTCTTTTATTTTTACCATTAATTCAAGAATCGAATTACTGAAATATATACATATTTTAGACAACAGCCGTAAATTCATATTGAAAACGAGGCTTCTTTATTCTTCCGAAAGCAACATCAACCATTCTCGGGTTCTGTTAAATCGATCAACTTAACATAGGTTAGATTTTGTGTTTTCCTCTTTAGATGATAAGAAACTATTCTAAGTATTTAATCTATCGTTGTAGCATAGTTCTTTTGTTGACGGGTTCTTTTAAGTTATGTGGTGAAAATAATTCAACGTACAGTACACATAACGATAATAAATTACTTTTTTTCATCCTTTTTTACGGACCTATTGTAAGTTGTATGCTTCCGAAAATTGTTCCAGCTCTACGTTACATATGACGTTCATTAATGTAAAAGAAATCAACCTACTTCTACGAAGCGACAACTAACACACTACTCACTAATAGTATGTATAACATAGTGCTAAAATACTTTAGGTCATATCCAACTTTCTAGGTGTTCTAGGCCTATTTTCTTAAACCTTCTGATCCTAATTATAGTATTTTG